ACTCAAAAAGGATTTGATATAGAGTCATTATACCTTATGGGAAGGTTGCGCAGCATATTTAGTCTGCACATGGGGTTTTGCTTGTGGATCATTTTCATTTTTGTTAGAGTTATTGCCCTTGACTTACAGTAGTATAAATTTGCAATTTTCAACTTGTTCATGCATAGCTCAAAAAGTATTTCACTTGTAGACCTGAAAGTTTACAAGAATGTTGGTCAGCATGTGTACTTATGCACCTTGTGGATCTATTCAGTATTTGTAAAGTTCAGTTCTTGCCCTTTACTTAGTAAAAGATTTTTAGTTTTCAAAAGATATTTGACCTAGAGTCATAAGATTGACAGAACAGTGGCGCGCTGGGGGCACCCGTGTCCTATGGACACATTTCTAGTTCTAATATGTTGCTGGAAAGACTATGGTTCATATTTTGTACATGTGATCAATACGAGAAGAATATAATTATATACGTGTAGCTTCATTACTTTTATTGAAGTCACAATACATGTATTATTAATGCCAAAAGCTCGCCCAATATACGTAACTTCAACTCGTTTAATATATTCAGTATTGAATCTATATTTATTCAATACTCGCTATTTTAGACGCCATAGTCTGAGTATCGGCCTCCTCTGATTCAAGCTGACAACTTAATTTCGCAGTTGTATGTAGAATACCACATTAACCTTGTCGGTAACAATACGAAATTTTGTTTATGGAAAATGTTTAAAATGAAGTAAACATTGCATTGCACCTTCTTACGTTAGAGAATCCGACCTTAAGTTTTTTAAAGTATGAACTTGTTTAGAAATAAATAAATGCACATTACAAAATCGAAATCACTTTGTAAAAAAAAACAAGAATAAAGATCAACAAGGCAAAGGCAACATTCACAGGACGCGGCCCCCGACACACTCAGGATACTAAACCTAGAAAACATTTCATGGGTTTGTATTGTTGAACTATTAATTACGGTTAAATTGCCACAGTTCAAAATTAATTTGACTATTTCTTCTGTATAAAAAATAGTTATTGTTGTTACACTTTTTCATCTAAAACAGTATTGTTTTTTAAGCATTAAGGTATACTCTGTTTCTTATATCACTATCTGTTACTTCATCATGAAAATTATTAACTTTCAAAACAAAGTCGGTAAGTATATATAATTGATTAACTCGATAGCACATAACGTAAATTTTACAGAGCTTTCCTCAGACTAATCTAACTAATCTAGTGTCTTCTCTTATCGTCAATTTCTTTGAAAACATACTCCCTTTTTCAATTAATAGTGACAACAGCAATTATTTTTAAATCTTAATTTATAGATTTTAACATAAATATCACAGCATTCGGCACAATATGGCCAGTTATGTGTTGACGTGTCGTAAAAATCCAAACATACAAAATATCACAGATTTACCTAAAACACTTGTTTATTTGTCTTATACAATTTCAGCTTCTACAACTATTCAATGTCCCTGTAAACAAACTGTATTTAACTGTCTCTGGAGACAGACAACGTAATTCATCAGGATCTAAACGGTTAATCTTTTCATATTATAGACATAAATATGAATAAAATTGTCATTTGTCTAAAATGTCTCAAATAAATACATTTATATGTTATCAGTAAAGCGTTTACTGGTTTTTACTTGTAGGATCCCTCGTCACACCAATCCCAGAATAACAAAGCAGTTAACTAGGACAATCAGATCTAATTATGTCACGTTCTTCACGCAACTTCTTGGAATTAGATTCCCTGAAGAGTAAAAATGGTATCAATAAAGCTTTATGTCAGTCAATGTTTGATTCAATCCAAACATTTTAGTGGAGATTTAATTGATCAACAACGCAAATGTCTCAATACAAAAGAAATAAATAAAAGATAACTGTATACATCTTTGCCTTTTTCTAATATACTGGAAACTATTAAACATTTCTCAATTACAATATTTAAAATGCTTAGAAACGTTAAACATATAGTTTTCGGTTGTTATGCTTATGTTCTATTGTAATTGCTAACGTATGAAGGAAATGTAGGAAATTGTCCTTGTCACAACATAATTCAACAATCAAACGTGTGTTACAAAACTTTTGCAAAAAAGAAATACAACAAGCAATTACAAAATTCAATCTAAAAATCACATCGACAAGTTATTACATAAGCATATTATTCAAACCAATACATGTATACATTTTGCTTTCATTGTTACATTTGTTACAAGTTTTGCAAATAAATATTTAAATACTGGTTACAAAAGCTTTTGGTTACTCTTTAAACAACGATGTACAAATAAATGAAGTAAATATCTATTTAAAAGAATGTGTTCTTCTAAACAAGTATAATTAAGGATATGTGAACGTTAACACGGGTATAACTTGTATTATTTCAAAGCGAAACGTGTTTTGTACTTTATTCTCAGCGGAATAGTGATGTTATTATTTTAATTGGCATTATAACAATGGTTTAATAGATATATCAGTACATGTATAATGAACACATGACAAATATAATGAAAATGAAATACAAGCCCGTTATGGTAGTTTACGTATGTCACTTTATTACACAGTTATAATGATAAATGGGGTGTCCGTGGCCGAGTGGTTAAGGTCGTTGACTTCAAACCACTTGCCCCTTACCGCAGTAGGTTCGAATCCCAACACGGGCATTAGATTCTCTTATGTGAGGAAGCTATCCAGCTAGCTTACGGAACGTCGGTGTTTCCTGAAATAATGCACGGAAGGGCACCTGAGTTCTTCCTCCACCAGTAAAGCTGAAACGTCGCGATATGACCTAAACTGTGTCCGTGTGACGTAAAACCAAACAAACAACACAATCATAAAGAATTACACGTACTTATTTAGATTATTTTGTCATTTATTATTCGAGTTGCATCGGTAAAATGTTTCATAAGGCAAATTTTGGCACCTTTTATGTTTTGATAAGTTTTTTTGTTTTATTTATTATTTTATTCTTGGACACTTTGCTGCTTAGAATTTACTGTTAGCCACCCACTTTAGCTAATAATAAATTAGCAATATTAATTTTTATTATATGTTTGTAGTAAAACAAAACAAAAATATCTTCTTCCAAAAAACGCCAAATAGCTAGAATTTAATAATGATTCTATTACGTCATACACTACTCTCGTGCTCATATGAGATGCGCGCAAACCGTGACCGTGATTATTCAGTGCGCTATAAGATTTCGTCCTGTGCAGACGAATCTTTTTATCTACAGGTGCTGTAGAAATTTTTCGTGACCGTGCAGTAAACTTTTTATAGTCTCTAAGCCTAAACAAGCGTGCTTATTTCTTTTTATATACAACGTGGTTGTATTTTACATTTAAATTTTAGGCAACGAGGTTGCTTAAATATTGTTTGGTATTTTGAAATTTAAATTTATTTGCAATTTATTTGGTATCAAATATATAAGCCCAAGTATTTGGGTTTCAGAATATATTTTTGTCAATCAGCTGTTCAATATGGCGGAAAGCATGTTGCAAGGAAATTCAACACACTTGCCAAGCAAAGAAACAGACGGTGCTTCGGTGAAGCCTAGTACTTCTGGTGTAAAACAGACTGAATCATCTTCCTCTAAGAAAGAGACATAAAAAAAGTCAGAAAAACAGCCTGTGAAAGCATCTGGATCGTCTGTCAAGTCTAAGACTAACGTTTCATGTGATACTGAAGTGTTAAAAATTTTGCAACAAATGAACTCTAACATCAATAAACAGGGTCAAGATTTGAAAAATTTATCAGATAGAGTAAATTCTATTTAGGATGACTATTATAATGCTCCCCAAGATGCTCATGAGTATGAGTCATATGATGATGAGCATGATGATGGTAGTTTTTGCCCAGACAGGTATGATTTTACATGTACAGGTGAAAATGATGAGGATGATGAAAATTGTCCAAGACAGCTTCAACCTTAACCTAAGAAACAGAAGACATTATTTGAGGGTCTTTCTGATAAGTTCCTTCTTGCAGACAAAGTTGACACAAAAGTAAATGAAGATCTTGCCGAGTTTGTTAACAGATCATTTAGGAACGGTGTTCCTGAAGAGACGGTGCAAGAAATAATAAAGGGAATTTTGAGACCCCAAAACTGTGAGTCCTTGACCAAAACAAGAGTTAATCCAGGTATGTGGAGATTGTTAAAGCCTCAAACTCAAACGGATGATGCTTAGATGCAGTTAATTCAAAATTGTGTAATTAAAGCCTCCATTAACATTGTCAAATTGTTGCATAAACAGGGTGATACTGATTCTGGAGCATTCGAGTTGGGATCCAATGCCTTGGCGTTGCTGGGACATTCTAACAAGCTTCTTTACAACAAACGAAAAGAATCCCACAAGAATGATTTTGATCCGAAATTCTTTCCTCTGACGTCGCCCAGTTTACCATTTACAGATTTCCTGTATGGAAATGAAACTGACATTAACAAGAATGTCAAAGATATACAAGACATGAGCCGAATTGGTAAAGTTGGTCGTGCTCCTCGTGGAAGAGGGTACAGAAATTTTCCGTACCGTAGAGGTGGTCGCTCATTGAGACGAGGTTACAGAGGTAGAGGGTTTAAGCCTACTGAAACTGCATCATTTTCGAGTGCAGGTTATTCAAAAAACTTCAAGGAGGGGCAGAAGAAATAAAACAGGTTAGTCAAAAATTTGAAGCTGGTAGATTAAGATTTTATGAAAAAAATTGGAGAAAAATTACACAAGATGAAAATATTTTGGACATTGTGAAACATTGTCATATTGAGTTTTTGAATTCAGAAAATCCTATTCAAACACACTGTATTCATCAAAATTCAGTGAGAGTGAGGCATTGATTGTAGAATTCAAAAGTTACTTGAAATGAAAGTTATAAAAATGGTATTTCATCATTGTAATGAATTTATTTCTCCAATTTTTCTTGTACCGAAAAAGAATCCTGGTGAATACAGAATGATATTGAATTTAAAAAAATTGATTCAAAAAATAACATATCATCATTTCAAGATGGATACATTTGAATCAGTATTATATTTGGTTAAACCTGGTTGTTATATGGCATCAGTAGATCTTAAGGATGCCTATTATTCTGTATTCATTGCGGAAGAAGATCGGGTAAAATTGATATTTGAGCATCGTGGTATATTGTATCAATACCAAGCATTGCCAAATGGTATTTCTTTTGCCCCAAGAACATTTACTAAACTCATGAAACCAATATATGCTTCACTGCGTTTTGAAATCAATTCTGAAAAAATGGTTGTAACCCTTCCAGAAACAAAAGTGTTAACACTATTGCAAGAATGCAAAGATCTATACAGAAAATATCAAGTTTCAATTCAAATTGTAGCTAGAATTCTAGGCCTGATGGTCTCAAGCTTTTCAGCTGTTGAGTATGGTCAACTTTTTTACAGAAAAATAGAAAAAGAGAAAATTCATGCATTAAAACTTTCGAAAGGTGATTATTCTTGTAAAATGTATGTAACAGATGAAATGAAAAGTGAACTGAAATGGTGGATAGATAATTTGTGTTCCCAAGAAAGGGTTATTGATCATGGTAATGCAAATTTAGTCATTGTGTCCGATGCCTCATCCTTAGGATGGGCTGGAATATGTGAGAATCAAGAAATAGGTGGTAGATGGACCACCACAGAGGCAGATCATCATATAAATTATTTAGAGCTCCTAGCAGCTTATCTATCTGTTACAGCTTTCTGTAAAAATAAGTCTAACATACATGTCCAAGTACAGTCAGATAACACTTGCACAGTAGCTAACATACGAAATATGGGCAGTTGTAGATCTTTAGAATGTAATGACTTGGTGCACAAACTTTGGATTTGGTGCATAGAGCGTTCAATTTGGTTGTCATCTACCCATATACCAGGAAAAAGTAATATTTCTGATTATGGATCAAGAAATTTTAAAGAAAATGTTGAATGGAAACTAAATGAAAAAATCTTCAGGGATATAACAGATCTCTGGGGATTACCTGAGATAGATATGTTTGCATCAAGATTAAATTATCAATTGTTAAAATATGTTTCATGGAAACCAGATGCAGAAGCATGTTTTGTTGATGCATTTTCTTTAGATTGGTCTAAAATGTTCATGTACATTTTCTGTCCTTTCAGTTTAGTGGGACGAGTTCTTCAGAAGCTGAGGCAAGACCAAGCAGAATGCATTATGTTGGTGCCACTGTGGCCAACACAGAACTGGTGGAACAATTTTCTGGAACATTTGATAGAAATTCCTTACATAGTTCCAGTGACAGGGAAAGTACTACAGATTCCATTCACAGACAAAATTCATCCTCTGGTAGGAAAACTGAACCTCTTTATTTCTCGGTTATCAGGCAATCGTTTGAAGGTAGAAACATTTCAGAGGGGGCTGCCAACATTATCATGTCCTTATGGAAACGTTCAACACAAAATCAATACTCAGTTTACATTAAAAAATGGTTTCAGTTCTGTGATGAAAAACAAATTAATCCAGTTCAAGTTACTGTAAATGTTATTTTAGATTTCTTGACAACATTATTTAAATCTGGACTGTCATATGAAAGTATTAATGCTGCAAGAAGTGCTTTATCAGCTCTAGGAATTGTGTTTGATGGTTTTATTACCGGAAAACACCCACTTGTTATAAGATTTTCTAAAGGTGTATTTAATATGCGTCCACCTAAAGCAAGATATAAAGAGACATGGGATGATAGCAAGTCACTAGAGTATTTAAAATCTCTTTCTCCAAATCAGGATTTATCATTTATCATTGAAGTTTTAAACTTTAAAACTTGCAATGTTAATTGCTCTTACTCGAGCTTCCAGAGCTCAGTCTCTACAACTGTTGACAATTGAAAACCTAGTCTCTACAACTGTTGACAATTGAAAACCTAAGGAAAGGTTCTGATTTTTATGTTTTACAGTATAAAGGTTCATTGAAACAATCAAAGCCAGGAAGGCGTGTACCATATGTTATGTTGAAAAGTTATCCAGACACAAGATTATGTGTTGTAAATACTTTGGCTGAATATATAAGTAGGACTGAATTATTACGTAATAATGAACAATCGTTATTTATAAGTTATTTGAAACCAGATGCAGCAGTGACTTCAAGTACTATTTGTAGATGGTTAAAAACTGTTATGAGTTTATCTGGGATTAATATTTCAATATTTAAAGCTCACAGCGTCAGGTCGGCTTCAACTTCAAAGGCCAGGGCCTGTCATATTCCTATTCATGAAATATTGAGTGTAGCAGGATGGAAAAATGCAGACACATTTGCGCAGTTTTATCATAAAGATGTTCAGCAAGAAAATGCAACTTTTGCAGATGCTGTGTTATCTTGTTAATTCACCTGATATAAGGTATGTGCTATGCTTAACTTTCCTATGGGACCAAAATTTTGTTCTGTTGCTTTAAAGTCTCATATGAGCACGAGAGTAGTGTATGACGTAATAGAATTCCCCCAATCAAACGAGACTTACCTGAAGTTGATGTTTGGTTGGAATTCTATGTAGTCATACAGCTACTCGAAGGGATCATATGCCCTCCCTTTAAGGTATATGTATTTCCCTCCCTAAATTTATGTCGTAAGCTTTACGATATACATTCAATTTATACATGAAGTATTGGTTTGTTGTTTAGACCAAAATTTTGATCTTTGTGCTTTTAATACTGAATAATCACGGTCACGGTTTGCGCGCATCTCATATGATCCCTTCGAGTAGCTGTATGACTACATAGAATTCCAACCAAACATCAACTTCAGGTCAGTCTCGTTTGATTGGGGGAAGCAAAACTTGTTTCCAGTAGGAGTAAACCAAGTTTGTTCAAATAAATCTCTTTGGAAAAAAAGACCCCGCCCTAAAGGGGGTCATTGATTTTCCTTAAAACATATATAGTAAAAACAAAAAATTTAAAAACCCAAAGACCTAGGGGCATATAACATTTTCTAGTGGGTATCTACATAAAATCCATGGGGTCAAACTTTGCCCCGCACAAGGGGATAATTGATTTTCTTATATGTATATAGTAAAGAAAGTCTTCTTCTAAAAAGCCAAAGAGCTAGAGTTAAGATACTGCATGAAACATCTTCTAGTTGTTGTCTTCCAAGTTTGTTTAAATCAAGTCCCTTGAGTAAAATATGAGCCGGCGACAGGAGGTCCTTGATTTTCCTTATATGTAAATAAAAAAACAAGAAAAGCATTGATGCAAAGCATCGAAGGCGACGCCAAAAAAATTGATCAAGTTTTGCACCTAAATACTTAACAAAAGATGTGTACTTTATAGCAGTATCATTACATTTGACCTGGAGGCTAGGCCCAGTTTAAGTTGAAACTTAAACCAAAAAGAATAGACTCGCCAATAGTCTTGCCAAGATGCAAAGACAATTATTTATAGTCAATTAACCAATCTTATAAGACTCGTGCCATAAGAGAGAATTTCTCCACATTTATTTTACCAGATACAAGGATACCTGAGTCATCAGCATATATTAAAAGCTTAGTATTGCTCTAAGGGTTGCAGACATGTCATTGACATATATTAGACATAAAAGAGGACCTAAAATGAACCTCAGGGGGACACATAGGTACTCGGAGCAGTAGAAGAATGAGTACCAGCCACATCCAACAGCTGCTGTCTATCAGAGATAAGACTTTAATCATGTAAGAATGTCATTACCTATGGCAGATGCTTGAAGTTTCATAAAGAAGAAGAACTTCTTCGTGTGCAGTATAGTGTGATCAACTGTATTAAATGCTTTTTTATTATGCAAAACTGCCTTTGTCCATTTCAAATTTAATACAATCTGTTAAATGAATCGAACATGTTGAAAAACCACTTCGAAACCCTGAATGAAACTGCCTGACCATGACTCGAACCCATGACTGTCAGAAAACCAACTGAGGTATCCGGCCGGCTACACATTTTGTCTTTAATAATGAAAGTTAGTTCTTAACCACAACATATTTTCCCACTATATTGATTTGTGTCCTTGAATTTCTGATGTTTACAGAGCATAGTGAATTAAACTCATGGTTATATGCAGTCACAGGATGAGAAAAACTTTCAGCTTGACCAGAACTCGAACCTGTGACCCACAGAATAATGTACCGCGGTTGTAGCGATTTAGCTATCTGGCCGCTTACATATTTTCTCCCCTAAATAGTGAACATTTCTAAACTGTGACAGATACTTTTAGATTTTTAAATTAACTGGTAGATTAATTCTTAATTAAACAAATAAGAAAAATAACCTTACATGCTCATAATCTTAATCAAAATAACAATTTATATATTGTATAATTATTTTACTAAAAAGGGCCCAGACAGTTATTGGTTGTGGCATTATTTATAACAGGTCAATTTGAAAGTGAATATAACTGTACTAATACATGTACAATATCTATTTTTTTGTATAGATAAAAATCTAACCTTTTTTCTATGATAAGAAATTTTATGAAGGCTGATTTGTATTTTGCATCAGGGGCACCGGGCGAAAACATGAAAATGCAATAAACGAACCACTTTGTGGTAGATTGTATTTTCATGTTTTCATCTGGCGCCCGGTTACTTTTTGTACTTTGTTGGTTTTCATGTGGCACAAATCACCCACTATAAAATTTAGTGCACAAGTCTTTAAATACAGAAATACACATTAAATCCATATACTAAGATACACATGTATGCACATTACATTAATAATTCCCATTTTCCATTAAAAATAAATATAACATCCTATTATCATTGGTACTTGGATCGAATTAATAATATTGTAGAAAGAAAACAATAATACCGGTATAAATTATAAAAGTAAGAAAACAATCTCAAATAGTCTATATCATATAATAAAGATTGAGTTGTGCGAGTGTGTCTATACAATAAATGCATATCTCTTACAGTAACAAATGCTGTCCCTCTTTCAACCTTCCATTAGACTTGACTATATAACTACATGTAACTGCATATATATCAAGTGTTTAAAATTGATAACTTCAGGATGTTATCCTTTCTCTGTTTTAATATATTGACATGAGCACCTATATTTATGCATAGCTTTAATTTTCTACCTTTCATTTTTACCAAAGGTTATTTTATTAACAATTTATATACAATCTATTTTATATACAAACACATAGAAAATAATAATTAGCTTCACATAGTGATGAGAAGATTCCTGTAGCAAAATACCTGTAGGTATGTACTAACTGAACAAACTAGAAAGATCCAGTTTAAGGTATTTAAAGCCAGTAAAAAAAATCTATCAATATTCACTCCTCATGGCCTTTTGCTCTTGATGACCTTACAACTGATAAATTTTATACAACAAAAATAGTAAATAATACCTAAGATAGACAGAAAAGAACAAATAATTTAGTAAACATGAGTTACTTCCCCTTAAAATAGAGAAAACCTGAACCAAAAGAACACCCTAAACAGCAAAATTATGAAATTTTGCAGACTCAGTTTTATTAAGCCATGCAAAGCAATGGTAAAATATTCATAAAAAGTTAGATCGCAATGTGACAGCAGCAATTGCAGAAAATCGGATAGATTTCAACATCCGAATACTGGTACACTTTGTAAAAACAATCATTCTGTGCAATAAATAAACGTAATATGAATAAAATCAATAGGATAATCGTTTACAACAGTTCCATTACCTATCCTAATACTCATTTGCATGTGAACGTAGGAAAATTTGAAAATATATAAAGGAATGAAAAAGAATACGGCATCAATGTAGACCACAACGATATTCGAAATCCGGGTTTTAGTATTGCCAATAAAACTAAGTGACAAGCTGTTAAACTGAGCCTGCAATTTCGTGAAAATAATATCACAATGCACATGCTTTTTACATAAAGTTAATAAATACAAATAGAACAACATATTTGTTTACTTGATTTTTACAAATCAAAATAAAACTAATTTACACAACATGACATTAACTGCTAATCATAACAGCTTCTTCCAAAGGCCAAAATAAAAAGCATTCCATAAGAGACGACGCCGCCCACCGGCGTCGCCAAAAAAATCTTCTAAAAACGAAAGAGCTACAACAAAGATATTTGGCATGAAGCATCTTTTAGTGGGTGACTAACAAATTTGTTCATCGATCCGGGAGGGGTGAAGGGTTTTCATTAATTTTTCTTATATGTTTTATATATAGTTAAAACAAGCATGCATCTTCTTTTATTATATTATGACCAGTATTATCATAGAGACTTTAGCTTCGATATTTGGTATGAAAAATTATCTGGTGAACCTTTACAAAATTGCCCGGACGGGGGGGGGTAATATGACTTCTCCTTATATGTAGATAGTTATTTCTTCTCTAAACTTGGGGGCGTCCGTGGCCGAGTGGTTAAGGTCGTTGACTTCAAACAATTTGCCCCTAACCGCCGTGAGTTCGAATCCCGACAGGGACTTTGGATTCTTTCATAAAGCTAGCTTACGGAACGTCGGTGGTCCTACTCAGGTGGCCGTTCGTTCCTGAAATAATGCT